GGCACTTATAACTCAGATATGCCCCTGGATCTGCCAAGCCAATGACGTGGAGGTTGATTTAAATGTGGCCTTTTAAATCAGACATTGGGCACAGGAGGCGGAAGGAGGGGAGCGGGGGTGGGGGAACCGGGAGACAATGACTTAAGTTTAAGAGCAAAAACAACTCTCAGGGTGAGCGTCCTTTTCTTCCCGCAGGATCTCTGGCTCTTCTGATCCACTGATGAGTGATTACTGGAACCAGGGTTCCAAGGTTGTGCTGAGTAACCGGGTGTCTGTCTCTCCCCAAGGCCAGGAGTGGGGACTGGGGATTTGGGAGGGTAGGAGAAGGGAGGGTGCAGACGGAGCGCGCACAGCACAGGTGCCCACCGCGCTGCCCTGCTCGCGCCGCGCCCTGGGAGGGACTGGGTCTCCGCAGCCGCGGAGCACCCCTTCGCCCGGTGCTTCCCCCAGACTGGGTTCCCAGCCCCTCCAGACCGAGCAAAAGCCAACCTCCAAGTTTCTTCGCACAAAAAGCGAAGTTCAGGGGCCCTGCCTCAAACTCTCTTTCTAGAGGTGGCACTAAGATCGAGGTGTCCCCTGCGCCCTCAAGGCAGGTGGCCTCACGTCCAGATGCCAGGCTTGTCAGGAGCACCCCACAGCCGTGCTAACTAAACCCAGGAATTCTGTGAAAACGACCCGTTTTTAAACCTCAAAGAGCCCTTCGCTTCCTAACAAGGCAGGGAAACTCTTTGCTCGCTTTTCCTGAGGTTTAATTTGGGTTCAATTCTAAATTACTCGCCTTAACATGATCCAGGAGATTTCTGGACTATTACAAAATTATCAGGTACCCTTGAGTGCATGTGCATGTGCGTGTGTGTGACTTTTCTTTCCCTTCCACTATAGTGCCCCTAACTCGGGCAATATGGAAAAACAGATTAGAAACTTTATGAGAAATGACTGGGCTGGAAAGGTTAGACTGCAAAGAGAAAGAGGATTTTGCAGCTCCCCCCTCCACATATAATCAAATAGACATGCCTATCTTACAAGTAAGCCTCCAGGATGCGTTGATGGGGAGTTAGCTTTAATTATGCACACTGTGATATCATTCTCCTTTCCAGCTTGGGAAAGAGTTAATTCTTTCCCAAAGACCATAGTTGCCCTTGTCTTCTCAACCTGATTCAGAGATGCAATAAAATATGAAGCAAATTTATGATCTGTTTCAAGCATTTTATTGCTGTATTTTTAAATTCATATATGCACATATAAGAACTATGATCTGTGAATAATTTGAAATGCTATAGTAGAATGATACATTTTAGATAAAACATAACCATATCTTTATATAATTGTCTCAGATTAAAATAAAAAAGAAAAATAGATTTCTAATGTGGACCAAACTGAAAAACTAATGACAGCCATAAACTGCTAACCAACCATAAATTAACATCTTCATCAAATGCTAAAATGGTATCAGTGGTTATATAAAGCAATTATTATTTCTCCTTATAAGTTTTTGAATAAAGTTCAGGGATATTTAAAGGATCCATTATTTACAAATGCTTCACAATCTTAAAGATTTCACATTTTATTAGGAGGATGGTTGTAACGCAAATCTGCTGTGTTAATAGAGATGTTTAGAGATGAGAATTTAGATTTAAACATAAAAATGCTTCATGGCCTAAGCTCATTTTATGCATTTATTCTGCTCTGGCAATTATTGAAACACTTGGTATAAGGATTTCTTTGTTAGATATCTTCATCTCTCCTTTAAAGGGAGAAGATAAATAATACCTTATTATAATGGGAGAGACTCAGATTGTATACCTAACTGGTTAAAACATTAAATCATGCACTGACTATTTAAGTAAGTACAACTATATTTGCCATGTACAGTTTCCCTGCAGAGCTATGGTCAAAATTTTGATATCAGGCTGAGCCTGTGCCCTCCATCTGAGACATCCACGAAAAGAAACAATTTTCCAACCAGGCCTCCACAGAAACATGAAGAGCCATGGAAGGGGAAAAGAAATCTATCTTCTGAATATTGCATATACCAGGAAGTAGGGTCAGGGAGTAACTTTTTTTTTTTTTTTTTTTTTGGTGAAGCATCAGGCATATATATCTTTTAAAATACTGAAATACTAAATACTTTCTCGAGAGTGAAATTAAATAAAATCTAGAATTACTGATCAAAGTAAGCTCTTTTTTAAATTAAAAAAATGTTTTCTGAAAACCAAACTTACTTGGACTATAGAGTATCTGCATGGCGTACATAATCAAATTATCTCTGCCACTCAATCCTTGTTTACAGTAGGTTGTCCTACAGGGTAGTTTTTGTGGATGAACATCTCCAAAGTTCAAGGATTAACTAAGTAAGGTCTTCAACTGGCTAAGTCCTGGGACCACTCTTATGGTTTTTGCAAACACTGTTTAGTCTGAGGACTTTCTTCTGTAGAATTGAATGTTATTTCATAGCTTTTGTGTAAATCGAAAATTAGTTCAAAATAAAAAGTTTAACAAAATGGATACTTAATTTTCAAAACACAGAGTATTTTCCGTATACTTAAGATTCATTTAAAAAGTTTCAAAAGTGATTTCAAATATTTTTTAAAATTCCATTTAAAAAGGTTAAGAAAAAATTAGCTAAAAAATAAAAAGGCAAAGACATTTGGAAAACTTTAACTATATTGGATGGTTCTTAGAATTTGTGAAATAAAGGTCTATTTCATTTAAACATTAAGCATAAAAGATAAAAGAATGTACTAAAATTTCGTGTTGTCAGGTAATAATGACATTTTTGTTAACTATAATGGCTAGTTCTTAGAAATAAATGTTATATGGATTAAATGTTCTCTTGTAAATAAATAAAAATCTCAAACTAATACATACTTTATAACTGTTTAAATTTGACTAAATAATGAATCATTCATACCTTTACCTGTTATATACCTGTTATTAGATTATAGTTACCTTTAACTCTAGTTTCTTCTAAAGGCACAAAATGTTATAAGAAAAATGCTTCATGAGTGTATCTCTAAACACTTCTGTATCATCTGTAATATATTATATCTCTCCTTATAAAAATGAATATGTTTAGGAATTGAGAATATAATAATAATTAACAATAAACTATATCAAACCCACTTAAACTTATCCAGCATAACCACTGAGCATTTTTTTCTATCCAGCCATATCCTGAATAGAAAATGCATATTATTACTCACATGATCAGGGCTAATTCCAGACAATTAAAAATACAATTTTTATTTACTCACTAAGTGTTTTTAGAATAGAATTGAAAGCAGAGCTGATTATTTCACAGATTGCCCATTTACTGACATAATTTATCTTAGTTGTTAAACAACACTGAACTGACTAGTTGAAATACACAGGAACACCTTTAGAGTCTAAGACAAGTACCGGTAAAATGTTAATGACTCACGGGAGTGTTTCTTAGGCCAAGTGTCCAGTGAAACGCTGTTATATACAGTTACGGAAGGAGCCACATCTAGTCTTCATCAACACCATTGTAGTACTTGCTTTATTTACAGTTTTGGATTTCAGCTTTATGAATAAATAAAATACTGTCCGAGTATTATTCAGCTTCATTCATGATATTGATAAGTGATCTATGGAAGACAAAGACCACTCTCTTCCATTTTTGTTGTTCTTTTACATCGCTCCATGGAATGACTGCAATTATTAAGAACTATGGTCTGGCAAGGTCAGCCTGGCTAAAAGAAACTTATTAAAACTTATCAGTCCCTGCTCTTTCTTAGGTCTGCTTTTATCATTTCCCACATGAAATAGCTAAGTTAAAATATACTGAGAAATACTTTGAATGTAACAACAAATGTACTTTTAGGGAGAATATCAGAAAATAAGAACATTGTGTGTGTGTGTGTGTGTGTGTGTGTGTGTGTCTATGTGTGTGTTTGAGGTGGGGGGAAGACAGGGATATGAGGATATTCAGACAGCAAAATGATTTCCAAATAACTTGTTATTTGAAACCAAATCTGTTACCGAACATACTCCTAGTAGGGAAATAAGGACATATAGTCATTCACCTGTGCTTTAAAAGTTGATTTATTGAATTATTGTTGTGAATAAAAGGTAATTAAATAGATTTACAAAGCATTTGCATTTCTTACCTAATGTCTTTTTAAGATTTGCTTCCTCATAAATCCACATAAATACCATTTTAGAATCAAAGGGTAATATTAAACAATTCAGAACAACAGTTTTTTGGAATATACAGCACTCCTTTGACTAAAAAATATTTTTAAACATAAGTATTGCCAAATTATCTATTTAAAATTGTACAATGGAGTTTTTCACAAATTAAATGTATCTTATTCAAGAAAAGTATTATAAACAAAATAAAGATTTAAGCTAAAAGGCCAAACATCATTGATCACTGATTTAGATTAACACTATGAAGAAGACTGAGTAATAATTACTTTAGAGAAATAGTAGAGAGTTTTATGTGATTGCTCATTATAATTTAAAATAATGCTACAGGGAATGTAATCTTGGCTTGCTAACTTTTTCTTAATTGAGTATGTGAATATGAATACCTAATAATGCAGTTCAAGTAAATAATAGTTTGCCTTAGTGTGAATTTAATAGGTTAAAAACAGTGCTCATTCTAAGGGCATAATGATTCTTTTATAATTATTGACATTATTTTATACTAAGATCAAAACCTGAATAACTTTTGTACTTTGATCTTTGAAATTGGTTTTAAGATTCCACTGTTAAATTAGAAGACACTTACAAGAAGTGTTACCCAAATTATTTTTTATGAGAAAATAAACAGGAGTAATTATGTAGATTTTCGGTATGGAAACTCCTTTACCTTAGACTAGTGACCTCACACTTAATGATAAAATGGAGAAAATATAATTACATGTGCCAAGAAAGCCAAAAGAAGGCAAATAAATGTTCCCATAAGGGTTGCTTAGCAGCATGCCTTATTTAGTGGTAAACAGGCTTTTTCTTAATATCCTCAGAGCATTTAGTTTTTGCTAACTGAATGCTTTATTACTGTTGGTCACTGACATAAAACAGTATTATTATTCATTTCCTTTAATTTCAAACTTAAGGGAGGCTGTAAAAATGAAAAGATGGATTCTTATGATATGTAAACTATTGTTTTTAAAACATTTTATTTTTTTTTAAGATTTTATTTATTTATTCATGAGAGACAGAGAGAGAGAGAGAGGCAGAGACATAGGCAGAGGGAGAAGTAGGCTCCATGCAGGGAGCCTGACGTGGGACTCGATCCCGGGATTCCAGGATCATTCCCTGGGCCAAAAGCAGGTGCTAAACCGCTGAGCCACCCAGGGATCCCCTTTAAAACATTTTAGAGTCTCAATGATTTGGTTTGGCTATTTTTGTCATATAATCACAATACCCAGTGTATATGTTTTATTGTGTATAATTATGTACATAGTAATTTCTCATTATAGAACACTACTTTGGAATGAGTGATGTAAGGTTAGTTAGATCTAGTGATAGATGAGAGTTGTAGAACTGTTTTAAAGAGATGAATTTATTTCTTACAAGGACACATACATTAAATTAGTTGTGTATGTGTTGTTTTCCCCAATACATTGTGTGTTCTTGAATAAGGGTAATCCAGTACATAGCAACATATCTAGAACAGAGGCAATGCTTAATAAATGTTTGATTGAATTAATGAATAATGAACTATGTATGACTAAAAAAAGTATTCCCTTTAACAAATACATAAGAACAGTCTTAAAAAGACACAACTTTGTTAAATTATCTCCTTTACGACTTCATGTTTGCATACTGCATTACACTTTTCAAAATAAATTCACACATCTTACTATGTTTAATCCTTATCATGAACCCTCAAGTCAAAAAAGCCTTATTATTTTTATTTTGCATATAAAGAACTGGAGCAATGACAGGCAAAATGACTGGTCGATGATAACAAACTAGTCATATCATAGCTAGAATCCATGTTTTTAAACTTATTTATCCATGGTATTTTTTTCTACTCATAAACACACTTTAAAGACTAGCTGTAAGCCTATAATAAGACTCTCTTATTTTGTTTCTACTGTCCATCCCTTTTATATAATATTTTCTCATTTTGTTTATTCTTACTTTGTATTCTACATTCCTATACACACTTCTAATTATATGTTAAGCAGAAATTAGAACTGAATAATTTCCTGTGTTCTCTCTACTATACCATTGCAGAAGTGTACTACTGAGACAAATAGAAGAATATGGAGGTCTCTGCTTCAGGTCATATGGTGGGCTAGATGTCCTCCTAGTATAAAAAGAAGGGGCTATGCTTTGTGGCAGGCAGAAGATAAAGCCTAGGTTCCAAGCTGGGTGTGTATGTGTGAAATCCAAGACTGCCACCCAAAGCCAAGAACTTGCAAAGCGAATTTCCTTAGTAGGGGAACTAGAAAGAAACCTTGTTCCACAGAGCAAAACTGTGAGTAGACTTGCCTCTCTCAGCGATGGTGAAGGAAAACAAAAACAAAACAGAAAGTCTCTCCTGTCTATTCCTAGTCATAGGGAGCTTTGTAGCTGATTCAAGGCTAGAACCCACACACAATACTTATGTATCTCCCATCCCTCATCCCCTCCCAAAATACTCAAGCTGCAAACTTAAAGTGAACTGTGTTTGATAATAACATCAGCAGTCAGACAAAAGAAACTCGACTTCTCCCTGAAGGAGTGAGTTTTAAACTCAGGACTTAAAATATTTCCAAAGATAAAATTCCAAGGAATATGGGCTCAATAAACATGCTTCCAGAGATAAAATTCCAAGGAATATGGGCTCAATAAGCATGCTGTACTAAGAGTTAAACAAACAAACAAACTATAGAATCAGACCCACAAAACACTAATGATTTAGAAGTGTCAGACACATAATATAAAACAGGTTTCTTAATATACTTTAAAAAATGAAAGAGGATATTGAGCCTATGATGAAGGGAAAAGACATCAAAAATTACCAGGAAGATATGAAGAACAAAAGAGAATTCTCAAACTGAAAATGTAATCATCGAACTTAGCAAATTCAGTGGGATCAGAAAAACCAAAAGCTGATAAGTTGGCAGCTGGCACTCTGGCTCAGAATCAACCCACAGAAGGGAGAGGGTCGTAAGGACCTGAGGATAGAAAGTAACAAATTAGTAACACATACACACATACAAAGGGTGAATGAAGGCAGTTGTGAACTGTGTGTGTGCATGTGTGTACGTGTGTGTGCACACCACAAGGGTTGGGAACAGAGTTTGCGGCAGCGCAGGGTAGTGGATGGTGGACACAGCAGTCGGAGGGTAGGTAGGGGTAGAGTTTTTAGTTCTTGCTTTGGCCTCTCCCTCAAATTAAGGGTCTAATGGATATAGTTTCCATCCCAAGGTGAAGAGATCATTAAATCATGGTGGGTGCATGTTACGGAATACTACACAGGTGTCAGAAGCAACAGATTAATATACATCTGTATATATTTGTGTGTGTATATATATATAAAGTTATATGAATATATCTTTAAAAACACAGAGCTTAATAAGAAAATTAAGAAGGATCTCATCTATAGAAAGTATGTTTATGTACATTAACATGCACATAGGTAATATGTTTTATAAAAATATTTAGTTATGAAAAGATACATATCAAAAACATTAGAATGTTTGCTTATGATGGGGAGGAGTATAATAGTGAAGATTCGGGGTAAGATAGAAGGAGATAAAGTCAGAGAGGCCTTGCTTGGACAAATCATAATTGTGTACCAAGAACTAAGAGGTATAAGGGATATGATTACTCAATCCCATGAAGTTAAAAAAAAAAGAAAAAAGAGGGACGCCTGAGTGGCTCAGTGGTTAAAGCGTCTGCCTTTGGCTCAGAGCGTGATCCTGGAGTCCCGGGATCAAGTCCCGCATCGGGCTCCCTGCATGGAGCCTGCTTCTCCCTCTGTCTGTGTCTCTGCCTCTCTCTCTGTCTGTGTCTCCCATGAATAAATAAACAAACAGATATTTAAAAAAGATAGAAGAAGAAGAAAGAAACAAACTCCATGGATGAGATAAAGAGCAGATTAGGTACACTGTACAGAGACTAAACTGAGAGTGAGATCTAAACAAATGCCCTAGGATGTAAATTAGAAGTAGAAAATCCGGGGAGGAAAGGTCAAATAACATGGCGTGCAGAGTGGGAGGATCTAAAGGAGTCTGGGAGAGGTATTACTCAGAGGTGATGGTTAAGAATATTTCCTACTTTCCTAAAAGACACACATTTTCAGACTCAAGAGGCACCATGACATGCAAGCATGATAGAGACTAAGAACATCAAAGACAAAAAGAACATGTTGACATCGTCAGAGAGAAGAGGTAGACTGCCCTCTGAATAATTAAACTAAGGGCTAGCCTCTTGATAGCAACAGTGGAAGCCTTAAGAACACACAGTATCTTCAGAGTGCTGGGAGGAAAGAGGTCTGTATGCACAGCAAAAACATCTTTCAAGAACAAGGGCGAAAATAAAGACATCTCCAATCCATCAAAACCCAGCAAAGCCTTACTAAGAAATGTTCAGAGCATGGATTTCAAGAAGGAGACTATAAATGCTAGAACATCTATTAATTATTAAATATTGTAAGTATTTTATATATGTTACTTTAAAAATCAGTTTCCTTTTTAAAAACAATAGCATGAAGCTGAAATAGTAGAAGTTCCAATCCATGCAATGCATATTAACTGAATCTTATTATCTGCTTTTCCTGTTAAATACAGCAGCATCATTTAGGTCAGATGCTAAACCACCACCCAGTAACCTGAAATTAGAAAGCACTGAATCGTGGACACAATGCTGCACTGTGGCATATAAAATTATATGGCATTACATAATGGTGTAACTCAAAAGAATACAGATAAACTCTAAGTCAAAAAGGTGATGTGTCAAGAACAAATACCCCTATCTGGTTTCTCAGTTTATATAAATGGAAGCGTTCAGGAAAGAGTTCATTGCAATACTGGCATAACTCTCATAGTTTACACTTAAATCAAATGCTACCATCAATCCTGTCATGATTTCAACATTTGCTCTTAACAACAAACCTAATACTAATGTCTCCAGCAATTGCTAAAAATATAATAGGTTTTGTGTGTTCTTATACATTAAATCTTATCAGTATCTAACTTAACATGAGTGGTCTTACATGACAAGAAATTTTGTTGCATTGAGCTATAGTATACAAAGTAATAAAGGACATTTATGGATGATTAAATATTGAAGTGAAGTTGAAGCATTTAATCTACTGCAAAACTCATTTAAGGCAAGCGTACCTAGCCGACGTAGATATTATTGATATTACACTTGAAGGGAACATTTTCATCCAGTTTATCTCATGAAAATTTAATTTCCTTCTTCTCTGAGAACTTTGAATTTGTTAGACTGTGTCCATCTCCAGCACAAATTTCCACTAGTACATAAAGTGTGGGTTTACATATTAGAGAAGAATCTGAGTGACTTAAAAAAAATCTCACAGTGCCAAATTTATTGTGGTACATTTGCTATGACAGGAGAAAATCACAATATGTAGAAAAACATAAAAATGCTATTTTGAGTTTATCATTATGCTGATTTTTATGTCTATTTTCATGTCGACATCGTATTTTAGTTTATGATGAGTTTTGTGACCAAGTACAAACTGGACTGATCACAGGTCAAATATAAGTGGGCACTTTTTAAACAAAAAAATAAAACAATTATATTTGCAGAAATTCAAAACAAATAGATGAGCTGAGGATATTTAGGTTAGTTCGGATAGATTTCTTTTCTTTCTTTTTAGCTCCTTTAAGTTTTTACTTTGTACCTAAAGAAAACATCAGAAGCTGGATGCTGAACACCAAGCAAAAGGCGGCTTCGGTTTGCTATTACAGGTTTATCATCAATTAGTTCTAAATCAAAATAAGTTAAAAGTACAACCAACAATTGCTTTATTTCAGCAACTGCTAAAAATCGGCCTGGACATTTGCTGGTTCCAATACCAAACGGCAACAGGTAATACTTCAGCCTTTTTCCTTTTTTGAAAAAGGTGGTTTTCTTCTTACCATCTTCTACAAAACGATCAAATCTAAACTCCTAGAGAGAAGAAATAAGGAGTGTTAAAATGCAAAATTTACATGAAATAGTTTGAGGTCAGGTCCACAAAGTTGCCAGCTGTCTTAAAAGGCTCTTTTTAATCCTGCAGATGCCAGAAAGCAAAACTTGACTATAGATTATATATGAACTTTCAACTAACTCAAATACTACTGGGAAATGATTTCTCCCTTATCATAGTGAAATGCTAACACCTATAGGACTCTTCTTCCCAATTTGCATCTCTCTCTCTCTCTTTTTAAGTTCTTTTCTTTTTTCTTAAGATTTTATTTATTATTTGACAGAGAAAGAGCAAGAGAGCACTTTTGGGGGAGAGAGAAAAAGCAGGCTCTCCGCTGAGCTGGGGGACCCTGATCCCAGGACCCTGAGATCACAACCTGAGCTGAAGGCAAATGTTTAACTATTTATATGGAGCCACCCAGGCGTACCCCTCACATCTCTCTCTTATTCTCAGTTTCCTAAGTTTAGAGGTAGTCTCTGTATTTTTGTTCCCTAAAAAGGGTCAACTGATGGGCACTTGGTGGGCTGATGTTGGGTAAAAGGTAAGGGCTGCTGTGCTGCTGCCATTGTTACTATGGAATAATGATCTATTGTCCACAGGAGCTGCTCAATACGCTTTTTCTATTTTTTCCCAGTCAGCTACCAATGGATAAGGATGAGGACTGTGAGCTTAGGATTCAGTGCTTATGTTTTTAAATAGACATAAAATGAAATTTGAAACTTATATGAAGTCCCCGAGAGGAACGAAGCCACAAAAATCTATCTTACTTCTTTTTTGGTGTTGTACTGAATTTCTCCTCTCACGGTGCTAATACAATGGACTCTCTTTTGGGTTAACTCTAGGGTGGCAGGTTATTTCCCATATGTTTTTATTAAAAAGTTCTATTACTTGTTACAGAAAATTATGGGACTGGTTTATCTAGGGTGTTTAGCCTGGCATTAATTTACTCTCACTTGAGTTTCTGAGAAGAAACTGAGTGACCTTATTTCAGCCCATGGTGAATTAAGCCATTGATTAAATTAATGCACGTGGCATGCATGAAAATGACCAAGTATTTCCCATAGTGGTGCTCATTAGCATTAAACCTGCTCAGCACACAACTTTGATATGAACTACATGAAGTCAGAGGCAAAGAAGCAGGTCAGATAGAAAGCATTTCATGCTATAGCGAAAACCCTACAAAATGTGGATGGATTCTGAACCCATCACAACGATCTAATTTTCTCACTCAATATGAATGCCATCAAAGTAATTTCCTTTAAAAGTTTGGGCACCTGGGTGGCTCAGTGGTTGAGTGTCTGCCTTTGGCTCAGGTGGTGATCCTGGGGTCCTGGGATCAAGTCACGCATCAGGCTCCCTGCAGGAAGCCTGCTTCTCCCTCTGCCTATGTCAGTGCCTTTCTCTCTGTGTCTATCATGAATAAATTTAAAAAAATCTTAAAAAAATACTGGGTTAAGTCATTCAGTAAGAATGACATCAAAATAATTTTCTTAAAAGTACTGGGTCTGTCTTCATTTACCTAGATACTGATTTTGATAAATATACAGGCTTGGAAAACACCTTTGGATGGTTTCAATTCCCCTTCAACTTGCTAGTTGAACACAAGTATTTCTCCCACCCCACAGACGGTGCTGAGATGTATCTGAATGGGATCTAACCAGTACTGAACTAAAAATAACCATGCATCGCTGTAGTAATGACAAGGACACTTTTGTGGACATGCACTTTGTCACTGGAGATAGAGTACAATATGGTACTCTCTCCTGATGACCTTTTCCATTACTGGGGCCCATGCTTGTTGCCTGAACTTAGGACTGCTCCTTCCTCCTTCTCACTGACCAATGTGAGGAGAGAATACTCCACAAGAGCTCCTCACTTAGCCAAGTCAGTTCAAATTAACTTCCTCATGATATATAGGACAAAGGTGTCACTGTAGCTGCACTATTTAGGGTAGGAAAAACAAGGTTTGCGTACGCACCAATCACAGTAATCACACTTGCTCTGGCCTCTGACTGATTAAAAAGATAGGGTGTGGGAATTGGCCTCGTCAGCACTATGGAGGAACCGTCTGTGAGGACATCTGAGAGAAGTTTCTTTCTTGTGAAGAAAGAAAAACAAACAAACTAAAAAATGGTTAATCACCTCTTCTCTTCTGGCCCTAGATATATGTGAATATGATGCCTGCGACTGCCATGGCCACCGCATTAAAGATGGAGCTAACCCACAGGAGATAGCAGAGCCAAGAAATCCCAGGAGATCGGAGTTGTCACATTGTCTTATTTATCTCTGTATTTTCAAAGCACCCAACATAGTGCTATGCGCACAGTAGAGGTTCCATATACATTTGTTGAATTAATGAATAAATACATGACAATAAAGTATATTTTAAAAGCAATATTCAGGCTTTTGAAGAAAACACAGATATTGGATGAGTAAATAAACATGTAGAGAATGAAGCGTAGATGAATATTCAACGTTCATAAATAGAGAATGGTATAATATTTAGCACTAGAAATCAAGATAGGAGAGATGACACAATTTTCTGGATAGAAAGGAGTTTTGGTACAAGTGGCTGAGGAACATTGAACCCCTTAATTTGTATGCTCCAAATATTGTGTTTAGTTCAGTTTAAGAGATTTTTTTGAACATTTCCCGTATGTGAGACTTTGAAGTTAAAATAAGGCATTAAAACATAGTCTAAAAAACATTAATAAAACATAGTCTTACTGAGATAGGTGACATACAATATAATCAAGTTTTATATTCACTCAATCATCATTCTGGGTGTAGGATTCCAGATTAGACAAAAGATACGACCTCCCAAAATAAGAACTGTCAGTGTTTTGAGGGGATGACCAAAGGGCTGCACTCTTGTCCTGCGTTCACAGTCAGTCCTGCTGGGAGCAGGACAACAGAGTTCCTTTTTATCTGCATGACTTAGGTTCCATTTAGTTTGTACTAGCTCAGCAGACTGCCCACATCTCCCAACTCTGTTTACAGTCTTCATATTACTCACATGAAGTCAGCCATGTGGGAGTATTGAAACCACAAAAATGGACAAAATCAGTTTTTCCAATTGCTGTCTTACCAGCACCCTGCTGGATCCAACATAGTAGGTGTGGAGGCCAATATACTGGTTCGGCAGAAACCCTCCAACAGGAAGCACTTCGCTCTGAGAACATAGCCATATGCTAAGGCCAATTCCTGAAACTCTAAGCTCTTAAAGACAAGGGCCTTTTAAATTTCTGTGCCATCCATTATGCCCATCAGAGTGCTTTTTGGATAACAGATTCTCAGTATACATTTGTTTCCTTGAAGTATCTTGGTGGCATAATCTCCATTCCAATTTGAGGTATAGACAAAATCAGAATATTTCCTCATTTGTTACGACTAGCATATTCGTAGAATGGTGACAATAATCGGAATAATACTGATACAGTAGTTTTTTATAGTGACTTGGGATTTATTCAAGGGCTTTCAAATTCATTTATCATTTTATAATCCCTAGATGGCTGAGAAGTTAGCTAGAGCAGACTTGCATGAGGTCAAATGAGGTCGTGCAAATTTGGAGCTTTTGGGAGTGCCCCATAGCTTTGTAATTACTTTGTTGTTTCTCTGTGCCCTTTAGGAGGTTGTGTGACTGCTACAAAGTGCTACCACCTGAAAAGTTGGCTCCACAGTATGCCTAGGCTTCCCTTTGTACCTTACCACCTCTGGCCACAGAAAAACCAACCAGTAGACGCACTCCTTTCCCTAGTTCCAGGTGGAAATCCTGCACTTTGGCAGAAAGGAAATCATCACTATTTATGGATTATTCGAGAGCCAGTTGCTTGAATTCTGGCTAATAAGAGATGTCAATTTGAGGAAGCCTTCAGAAAAATTTAAAAGGCTTTCTGTTCTAGTTAAATTACCTAGACTTTTTTGAATTGCATTTAGACCAACAAAGAGAGAGAAAGGAAAACTGAGAAGGGGTGTTTCCTGTGCCCTCTCTCATTGTCTTCAATTTTAGTTGCCAATTTATTCCCCATAGAGGGAAGGGCCACCTGAGTGGCTAATATTATAATAAACTAAGCAGCCAATATTCAGAAAGAATAATTCTTCATATAGAAGGTACATGTTGGGAGTGTATAGCCCCAATTAGATCCCTGTTTAGTTCATGCTGTGTTTTTTAAACACTATTTTTCCAAACCTTAAAAAATTCTAGTTTACCCCAAAATGTGTTTTCTGAGTTGTTTTTCAAATGACTCAGTCATGCTAGGTCTACCTGCTTGTGAGAGCTGAAGGTTAATTCAAAAGTACCCAAATGGTCTTATTTAGATGCCCCTGGGGTCTCCTTTCCCCATAGTCCTCACCACTCCTGACAGTATCCTGATAATATGGTTACATTTATGCATAAACCACTTCATCCATTTGTTCTAGTTAGGCCTAGTACATATTTGAATATGCGATATTGGTGGTGACTTAAAATTCTAATTCAAGTGTATCTTCATTTTTAGAACAGCCATCCATTCCAGCATCCCCTTATTTATTCACCCTGTGGACACCCTCGTGAGCTAGGCACTGAGAATGCCGATGAGGCAGTAATGTGATCTTTCTCCTTCTGGAGATTAGAGCATATGGTTAACACAGACAAACACACAAGTACTTGGAAAGCAGCAGGTGGTATGCACTATAACGAAGGTACAACAGGCCACAGAGTGGCCTCATTCTCGGAGGAATGAGGTGGGAATCAGTAACACTGCCAAAGAAGAGGTGATTAAGACTGATTCTTGTGGAGTAATGTGGAACCTCCTGGGTGGACAAGTAAGGATGAACATTCTAGGAATAGGGTGGTGTATGAAGGAAGACTATGGACTCTTTTTGGAATGTAATATTCTAGAGACTCCTGGGCTTGAACATCCTGAATCCACACTTCTTTGGGTTGGGAGAACCTATGTTCTGCTAAGGCTCTTCAGTCTCTGTGTCCTCCAAGAATAACTATACTTACATCTGTAGGTAGTCTTCCTCACGTTTCTGGACTAATAGCTACTGTCTGTTTTCTCTATGTAAGGCCTGGTCTTCCCATACAAGATCCATAGGGCACAAAAGACAGGCAGTGAGGAATATGAGCCTCTGAAGAGGTTCTGGGCCAATACTCTCAGTGACAAATGGACAAGGACAGAATTTCCTAGGATTTCCTCCTCTTTTTTACTGTCAGTGGATGGTGGTTTCAGATGAGCATTGATAGCATCTACTTATTATCATCCTAAGTTGATAAAAATGACAGGAATAAATCTATATGCCTGATAGCAGTAGGTGCTCAGTAAATGTTTATAGAATGAATAATTATATAAGGACTTGCCAAATCATATAAAAATGGTTCTGAACCATGTCATATTTTTCTGTGCCAATAATGATCAGCATTCCACAACTAATTTCAAAAAAAAAACAATGTTCACAAAAAATTAGCTAGTTAATTTTGGAGACCAAAGAACAGTACTGCATATCAGTGGTAATCTGGTAAACATTTACCAAATATTTGTTGGTAACTTTATTTTTAAGTTTTTAAAAAAGATTTTATTTATTTATTCACAAGAGACACGGAGAGGCAGAGACATAAACAGAGGGAGAGGCAGTCTCCCTGCGGGAAGCCCGATGTGGTACTCGATCCTGGGACTCCAGGATCACACCCTGAGCAGAAGGCAGAAGTTCAACCACTGAACCACCCAGGCTTTGCTGATAACTTTAATGTTGTTTTGCTATCATGATATGAATGGTAAACTTAATGACTAGTGGAATAGTCACATAATAAAAATAAATGGAAAATAAATAAATGTAAAAAACTATAGAGATGGGATCCCTGGGTGGCGCAGCGGTTTGGTGCCTGCCTTTGGCCCAGGGCGCGATCCTGGAGACCCGGGATCGAGTACCACGTCGGGATCCCGGTGCATGGAGCCTGCTTCTCCCTCTGCCTGTGTCTCTGCCTCTCTCTCTCTCTCTGTGACTATCATAAATAATAATAATAAAAAAACTATAGAGATAACACCTAAAATATTTTTCAAATATTAGCTTATAACTTGCCCTATTTATGGAATATCTATATATGGAATTTTTTTAAATATTTACAAACGTGGAGACAAAGCTAGTTGTCCACAGAATGTTCATTCACTCACTAATACCCTACTTCCAATTTGCTATCACCATACATAAAATGTCTCTTCTTCTGAAACATATAGAAACCATATGTACACTTTCACTTAAAAAATTTAGCCTTTGCTGATGACACAGATGCAAATTATCTCACTGTATTTGGAGTCTGTCCTCTTCTTATTAATTTCCAAAATTCAATAATATTTTAATCTAGGCTGGCTACAAAGCATCAAACTTAGAAATGGGTTAAAAGTGATCCAGCTATGAACTGCTCAAAGAGCACAGAAGTTTACCTTTGAAAAATAGCATTTTATTCACAAAAAACCACTATCGCAACAACATTAGTTCATGAGACACACAGGCAGAATCGAGTGCATTCAATTTGCATGCAGGTGGTGAACCTCTGAAGTGGTATTAAGGGATGAGCCAGGGTGGATTAATTTCCAGTCTTTGATATTCATTAACTCCAGCTTCAGAAAAAAATACAAGGAGATGACACAATTACCCTCAGAGCTTCACCCGTGAGCAGCAGCTTTACAATCTCAGGTTCATAATGCCACCCTGATTGATCAGAAAGGGGCATATACCTTTGGTAAGAGGTGAAAAAGTATATGGGCTTAACTATGGCAATGATGGTATTTGATTTGGGGACAGTCAACCCTACTCTAGAGACACTTAGCAAAACAGTCATCATTCTTTATTCTCCAAGCCACCTGTCAATAGCTGGCTCTCCATGGTTTTCAATAATTCTCTGCCAAGCAAAACCTGTTTTGGGCCTACAGGTAATGATGGCCAAGGTACAATGCCCATTTCATTTGAAGAAGCCAGCATTTAGTCTCATCATTCTATTTCTATTAATAGACCACAAACCCTTTGAAGAGAGATCCTTTGGAAACACTTCAGTAAATAGGAAAATTTTCCCCTTGAAGGCAGACAGAAGTCATCAATCCATCTCAGATTCCTTCTGGAACAAGATGGTAGAAGGAAGCTACAGAAAAAAGAATGCGAGGAAGAGAAATATGCCTGCAGTTATCTAAGAAGTAGCAACGACTGCTTTATGCTTGTTTACCTCTGGAGCTTCAAAGATTTCCGGGTCGTAATGTATGACTGGAGGAAAGAGGGCTACCAAGTCCCCCTTTCGCAAACAGTAGTCCTGCGTCTCTGAATGTAGAGTCAAATCCTCTTGAACAAAACGAATGATGCTTGAAAATGAGCGTATTCGTAAAACCTCGAGAACGGTGCTTTCTGAAGGACACAAGCAAGCAACAGTTTATTAAAATATGACTGCTCCTGAACAGTGCTCTCAGTTTTTCAGTGAGCTCATTATCAATAGCTTTGACTGAAAAGGGAACCCTTTCCTAATCAGATCCATTGAACACCAAAAGGGAGCCCTGGTGGTTTTGGATGACCAGAGCAAGGAGGAGGCAGGGGAGAGCCTTGACCTGACCCCAGTCACAGACACGAGGCTGCTGTGCTGTACTTGGGCAGAAAGTCATTAGCTACAATTTTTGTAGAAAGGAAAGGTTTGCAAGAGGGAATGCTGTGTTATATGTATATCCGTTGAACATTAAAACCATATTCCAGCTGGAGTACACTGCTGGTGGGTTATTTCACTACCCTACAGGAGAGCTACATCTTTATTTTTAAAAGATTTTATTTATTTATTCATAGACACAGAGAAAGAGAGGCAGAGACACAGACAGAGGGAGAAGCAGGCTCCATGCAGGGAGCCCGATGTGGGACTGGATCCTGGGTCTCCAGGATCACACCCCAGGCTGCAGGCGGCGCCAAACCGCTTCACCACCACGGCTACCAGAGCTACATCTTTAAAGCCAGGCTTAGGCATTTAATAACCACTTAGGTAGTTAATAGTAAAGTAACTGTAGTAGTGCTTTCTGCGATGGCTTAACACTTAATTTCTTTTATGCTAGCTGTAAATAAAATGTGGGTCAGCATTTGTTAGAAAAATTTCAAAGAAAAGAGAGTTTTATAGGATTCAGAAGAAAACCGTATTTTCCTCAGCATCCAGGGAAAATAAAGCCACCATCATAACCTGGAAGATTCCAGAAGCTGAATGTCCTTGCTTTCCCAATGGCCTTCACCTTTTGCTCCTAGCACGACAGATTTTATGGCTAATTTCCGGCAATTTATCCTGGCAGTTTGAGGAGGAATTCCTTTGGGAATAATATGCATAATTTGCATAAATCATTCTGATAGCATGCATATCAGCATGTAGCTCCTGTCTAGGTCTGCATCTCTGCCTTCATAATCAAAACTGACTATGTTTTCACCAGCGTGAATGGGTCCTAGAATATAAAGCTTGATTCTTTCTAATCAGCAATGTGGAAAAAAAAGCTCCAAATTGAGTGTTTTCCCCCTTTCACATGGTAACAAATGGTTGTTTATGGCTTGCAATTTGGAATCACACACACACACACACACACACACACACACCCCGTACCCCAATGTCTTAGTGTTCAGCAGAGCTCTGAAACACAGAGCACTCAATTGTTAGATTAGAGCAGTGCACTGGTCAGTGAGGGTTTAGATCAGCCCAAAAAGAAAAATACATGCAATTTCACTGAAATTTAGATCTATGCACAGCTCTCGCCCAGGATATCAAGTAGCTTTGGGTGCCTTCTCCCAGGACATTTTTCCCCCAAGCATGCATTTGTCTAAAGAAATGAGGCTGCGGTCAGCTCTGTGTGGTCAGTGTGGTGATTCAATGTGACGTACAGTGAGGCTGTGCATATTCTTTTGGACTGCCTTCGTTATTATAATCAGGCGGAGTCAAATCGGTTTGTTGGTGATGAGGCCAGAAAAGAACTTTGGTTTTGGACTATGGACTCTACTGCAGATAGCCACAAGGCACCTGACACGACGGATTTCAGCTGGCAGGACACCAGTGACCAACATTTTTATGGTGAAAAGCAAGGGTCAGCTTTCCCATGTACTGCTGCTGGCTCTGTTGGTTCAACGACAGGATAGCGTCATTGTAGCTTGTGGTGTGAGATGGTAGCTGACATATGTAGCAGTGCTGTTCACCCAACAAGTCCAGTAGGGGTGTGGGAAGAAGAAATACAAAAGCAAAATAATTGTGGGGTGGCTCGGTGACAGGGTGGGCATTTACCAATCCAAATAACATGGTCACATCCGATTGGCCGACGTGCTCGAGGGAAGCATGGCAGCTTGTGCCCACTGCAGTATCACAAATGACAATTGGGCAAGCATATCTTATGCAGAAGTTAATCACAATAATGGAGCACAAAGTGTGGCTTAGCGGTCAGATCGTAAATGACAAATCTGTTTTACCTTCCAGTACCAGTTATGTGTGCAAGACGAGGTTGGCTCTCGCTCTGAGCGATCATGCCGATAATCATTAGATGACAAAAGTAATGAGTTGCATTATTATCAACAATGGAGAGGAGAGCTTCCATGGCTCTGTGTTACAACACACAGACACAAAAGCCAGCAGCTTTTTCCACCAGCCCCAGTAAGAATGCGGGCAGGGCTATATGTTGAGAAGAATGACAACTGCACAATAAAAAAACTGCAGCCTCTACTTGTAGTTGTCATAGTTGAGCAGACACCAGCCAGTGCCACTGACAGACCAGCTGGGCCCTGGGAGGACTTCCATGCTACACCAGGAGGTACAGTAAATTATCCTGCACGGTAGAGCAACATCTGTTTCTGTGCTAGTGCCGAACAAACAAGGCAATTTAAAACATACCAAGGGATAACCAAGCAACAAATGAACATGACCCTCATTTTTTTCCCCGTTCTCACACATGAGGTGTTAAACTTCATTGTGCAAGCACTCCACGAAAGAGAGGCCAGGTTGGTATTTGATAAGGTGTTGTCAGAGAGATTTTACATATTTCCAAAATGGAAAGGAAAAGCTTATAGTATTGTTATTCTTAGAATCTTCCTTCCCCCTTCTATCTTCATTTCTTTTATACCAAAGCTAGCACTCAGTTCTCAATTCGCTCTAGAATTAAAAAAAAAAAAAACTTTCCATATACTTATAAATATTCAGTCTTTAAACCTAATTTGCTATACTTAGTTCACATGCCTTCAAGCATTTGTCTTCCAATTTCCACTGAATAAATGCGTACTAATGAGAAGTAGAGCAAGCTGCTGAGGCAAAGCTGGGTGACTTGGGTCTGGCCTGCCACCAGCTTGTGATAGGCGGGCAAATTGAGTTAAAATGAAAAGTCTTGTCAGCTGAAATTCAACATGGTAGCCAAACAGCAAGCTGTCAATCATCCAGCCAAAACAAGGGACTGTAGGTAATAAAAGGTCATTGTGATCATTAGTACACTTGGCTTTCATATGCAAGTTAATTTTAATTAAACATGATCTCTATCTGTAAATGTTTTATAAAACTTATTGTGCATAATGGATTGTTAATTTATACTAACATTTAGCAGGTAATAGGACCCTCTACTTATTAAATGCATTGTAGAGAAATGGTTATCAAGAATGCAAATATTTTGGGGACAATTTACACCAGGCACCACAAGGTGCCAACAATTGCGGTTGCGATTAAGATAAGTCTGCCTGTGTTTTATTAAGAACTGAGCTTTACTAAGCAGTATTCAGTAGGAAAGTGGATTACAGAATTCCCACAAAGAGCTTATAATTCAGAGCCTGAACTCTCTTCTTCACCTGGCTGGGAGAGATTTGTTTCTCTTTTCAGGGTCTAAAAATATTCTGATAAAGTATCCCTTCTAAGCAAAAAGCTGGAAACGTTTTGAGCTAAGATGCTTTACCATAACTGTGAAGGAAAATAGCAAATGAAAGGACATGCTGGTAGAAAAAGGCATGTACACCTTCTCTTTTGCCCTCAGATCTCCATTCTGGCTGTAATAATTGACAGATGATTCTCATTTGCAGATTTAAAGTGCTGAAGCAGCTCATGACAATCAATAATGCATGTAACGATGCAAACACAAATAAGCACATCCAAGTTTCTGCCTCACACTTAGGCCATGTCTGTATATGTGGAATGAATGTACTGTGACATGGCCAGGCTGTTAATTTGGGTCATCTTAATGATTGGTGCAGACTGTCATACCATCTGATTAGCCATGGTGATCAGTGGATAGCGGTGATGGCTGGAGTGAAATGGACAGCCAAGACCCACTGCAGTCCACTGGGGCTGAACACTTGGGCGGTCTTACAAAGGTGGATGAGAAAGGGGGAGAGGAGGATCTGTAGGCAGTACTATAGAAGGTGTGAAGAAATGGAGTGAGGCCCCAGATGTGTGTGTGTGTGTGTGTGTGCACGCACATTTTTTACATAATTGCTTTCAAGACAAGTGAGACGGTAAATTAGAAATTATAATAATCAGTGATGCCTGGGTAGCTCAGTCAGTTGAGCATCCAACTCTTGGTTTTGGCTGGGGTCATGATCTCAGGTGGTGGGACTGAGCCCTGTGTTGGGCTCCCTGCTCAGTGGGGGGTTTACTTGAGATTTTTCACCCTCTGCCCCTCTCCCTGCAGGCTCTCTCTCTCTCTCAAATAAATACATCATAAATATTTTTTTAAAGAAATTATAACAATTCGATAACCTGAAGCAACTAATAACTAATTTTTGGCTCAACAACTGTGTTTTAAATAAAGTTAAAACTAAATCTGAATTGGTACAAATGTCTACTTTCACTATGCATTGTAGACACAACCTTTGTTCCTGCTAAAGTATATAGAAAAGGAAATTCAACATTCATTTGTTCAATAAATGTTTATTAAGGTCCTATTCTCTTCAGAACCACTTCTACTAGTGAAAAAAAGAAAACACAGCATATGGATTTGGCCTTCATGGACACTGTAATCTGGGTAGTTCAAAGTTGGGAGGTACATATAAATAGGAATGCGACACAAGATCCCAGAGAAGATTCTGCACAATTTCTGAATAGATACTTCTAAAGATGGCATTTGGTACCTAGCTGAAACTTTCCTCCTTTTAATTTCTACCCTTTCAAAAAGACAGGGCTAAAAAAAAAAAATCTAATCCCTCTTCCACATAACAGCCCTCTAAAAATACTTAAAGACAACTATCATGTCATCTTTAAACTGTACAGCAGAGATGACACGGCCTTCAGTGTTTTGACATCCTAGATGAATTCAATTAGTCAACGTGCCTCTTAAAAGGTGGCAGAAATTGGCGTGGTGTTTCAATTACAAATATAGAGAGGAACTACTTTCTTTACCTTGCATACTAGACTTCTATTAATGTTTTTAGGA